TCATCCGTTCATTAGCATCCGCACCAGTGAGATCCTCTCAAAGCTGAAACCGCAAAATCGACAAGAAGTAGCTAATTTATACAATATAAATACGTAGGTCAACAAATGCATAGCATTTTTCATGAAATAGCACTCTAGTTGCTATACGGGTTGTTGTACGCCCATCATTAATCAATAATAATCATTTTAAAAAGAGTCAATTCCAGTCTAGTAGGAAATGTTTGAAGCTTTTTATTTCTGCCAGGACCAGTCGTTGGTCATTTCCTGCACGGGCAGGTGTTTTTCCAGGTGTCCGTTCCTGCTCTTGGCCTGCGGTGTTGCGGTTATGTTAGATTTGGGCTCACTTTGAAAACCGTCATCGTTGGATTCTTCCTGAACCGGGCAGCTGAAGGGTTCGTCTGTTCCTCCGCTGCTCCCCAGTGACGTTTGACTGACATACACCACAATGACCTCACCGCTGAAGTTCATCACCTGCCCGCTGGAGATAAAAGTAGTGTTGTTGTTTCCTGTCACCTGACCTGCCAAAAATAGACAACACATGAGAACCAGTGTTAGCGGAAGGTGGCAGAAATAGTCCACTATATTTCCATTAACTAAATATTCATTCCTTTCCTGGAGACAAATTAACACCAGTGTTATTTTAGCATCATTGATGTACTCTTGCAGTTTCTGTTAATTATATGGTATATATATATATAATGGTTTTAGTTTTAGTTAATAACCCTGGAAGACTAAACAAGAACATTTAAGGCTAAACATTTTGCATATTAATGCAACCAGATGTGTACTTTTCATTCATACAAGGCTGCTTTGTAGTCTTGCTGAAACACGTGAATACGCTCCCCTACTACTTTAGATGTTTAGTGGTCCACATAAATAGTCTACATTACAAACTGGAAGCTAATAATGCCACGTCAGTACTGAATTGGCAAAAAGCTGTTTTTGTGTCAACCTCTGTTGAGCAACAAAACTGCTTCCTTTCCTTCCACTTAAAAATTCAGCATGAGAAGATTATATGGTTCCTGTTTTTTCTCTGAATATACACACAAACTATCAATGACTCATGTTTCACACATCTTTTAGTAATTTTGCCGCTGGTCCATAAAGGACCCTACACCCACTCTTTGCGGTGGCTGCCTGCCATATTTTCACAAACACGACTTACTGGAATGCGCATGACCTGAATGTGCTTGTTCTAATTGTTACTACAAGACGTGACACTTTATTTTAGTGTTCAGGTTACTGTGTATTTACATGAGATATTACTGAATAACACTAATGACCTACATGTGTAAATATTGTGTAATTCCTCTGCGGAGATTAATAACAATAGGATGGAATACAAGTAACACAGACACTGTTAAGTAACGTGTTATTGAAATGTAAAGCTTTATTTTGCCAGTACTTATGATTATTTAAAATGATTAAATTATTGAAAAAAGATATACAGTACAGTACAAAACTTTTGAGTTTTGAATGTTTTTAAAAGACGTCTCTTATGCTCACCATTAAAGGGGTCATATGATGCTTTTTTAAAGATCATTATTTTGTGTATTTGGTGTAACAGAATATGTTGACATGCTTTAATGTTCAAAAAACACATTATTTTTCAAATACATGAGAACCAGTGTTAGCGGAAGGTGGCAGAAATAGTCCACTATATTTCCATTAACTAAATATTCATTCCTTTCCTGGAGACAAATTAACACCAGTGTTATTTTAGCATCATTGATGTACTCTTGCAGTTTCTGTTAATTATATGGAATTTTATTTTTATATTTTCTGTTTTTATTTTAGTTTTAGTATTTTTGTTGTTTAGTCATTTGCATTATTGTGTATTTTTTTAAAATATGTCTATATAGTGTTTATTTTAGGTTTTAGTTATTTAAGTAATTTTTATATTTTCGGTTTTCATTTTTAATTTAGTAATTTTGTTGGTTTTTTTGTCATATTTATTAGCTTTTTTAGTTATTTTAGTAATTTTTATATTTTTGTTTTCATTTGAAAGTTTTAGTAATTTTGTTTTGTTTTGTCATTTTTATTAGTTTTTTTTATGTCTATATTGTTTTCATTAGGTTTTAGTTTTTAGTTATTTTCGTAATTTTGTATATTTTCTGTTTTCATTTGCATTTTAGTTATAGTAATTTTGTTTTGGTTTTTCGACATTTTTATTAGTTTTATGTTTTCTTTTAAAATGTCTATATAGTTTTTATTCGGTTTTACTTTTTAGTTATTTTAATTATTTTTATATTTTCTGTTTTCATTTTAGCTAGTTTTAGTAATTTTGTTGTTTTTAGTTTTAGTTTTTAGTTATAGTTTATTTAGTTTTAGTTATTTTAGTGCTTCAACATTAACTGAACAAAAATTATCAATGTTGCCATGACAACTAGCTGAAAGAAAATAAAATCTAAAAAAGTAAACTTATTTAAAATATATATAT